TTCTAAACGTTCTTTCCTCTACTATCAATACTCAAAGCAAAAATTGAAGGTTCTTCAAATTCACTTTTGTAAAAATCTTCATTGACTATGAAATTTTAGACATCATCAAATTTCATTTTCTCATTCTTTGATGAACTACTTATCATTGTTATTGTTACAAACAAACTATCGAGTAGAGAAGATAGCCAAATCAATTCCTTAACTTCATTATCAAATATGATGTTTACTGATTCTAATTGACTTATTAACATATTAACTTCATTGATGTGATTAGTCATAAACACACCCTCTACTATCTTCGGATTGAATAATCTAGGCATCAAAAATACTTTATTTGAGACAAATGGTTTCTCATATATATTTGACAACATTATCGTTAGATCTATTGTAGTCTTTTCTTTCATGATGTTAAAGGAAATGTTTTTTGTCAATGTCAATAGAATAACACCCGAGCCTAGCGATCCAATAGAACCCAATCAACATTTTTCACCCCTTCTAGCTTCGTCCATAATAGGGGTTCATATACCTTCTTCTAGTATAGATAATTTTCAATCTGCATCTTCTAAAATCCAAAGTCTTTGTCGTTAAACTTATCAATCTTGACTTTTCCTTCTTTTGCTATTTTTCCTCCTCACCTCGTGAACCTAGTGGCTTTGATACCGGTTGTTAAGAAATGAATCAAGAAAAATAAAGTAAAAAAAGAAAGAACAATCACACAACATAAAGATTTATACGGTTCGATAATTTTACCTACTTCACAGTCTACATAGGACTTTCTATTAGGGTTTATTAGTCGACAGTTATAAATACAAGAGATGTTATCGCCGTTTATAGTATTGATAACTAGGATTATAATAAAAAAAAGTCTTACAAGCCTATACACTTGGTCCGACTAACGAGATCGTTATACCGGCTCTATGTAGAATTGTAGACCACATGCGCATCAATCTTCACAACTTAACATATATATATTGAAATTTATGAAACCGAACAATTAGGGTTTATGTGATTTAGGGATTGATTTCTTCCTTTAACGGAGAATCGATCCGCACCTTTATTATCTTCTCTAAAAGAAGTGATGGCCTCACAACTAGAAAGATTGAAATCATATGAAAAGCATGTGGCTTCATCTCTAGTATGAATGTCGTATATAGATTCCACAATATGTGTTGCATTTAGTATACATATTGATTTTGAATGATCATGCTAACTTGAGAAAAATTAGAAATATACATGTTAAATTAAGTTAATTAAAAATGCATTTACTATATATTTGGTCCTTATACTCTCCAAATATTTTTTGATTAATTTTTTTTTTTTTTGGCTTGATTGAAACCTTCTACTTTTAGACATTTATTGATTCGGATCATCTATTATAACTCTAAGTAATAGTGTCTTTAACTGGAAAAAAAAGTTAAAAACATTTTTTATAATTAAATTAATACTTAGTATTAAAAAATAATTAGAAAAGATAACATTACCCTTATCTCATTTTCCTAACCCAAATCATTCTTTTACATTATCAAACATTATTTTCTAATTAGTAATCGGTTCTCATCATTTTTAACATTATCAAATCATGCCCAAATGTGTGATGATGTTCTACGGACTCCACCCATCGAAAAAGATCATTGAACATTATCATTTTGTCCGGAAAGAAGAGAAATGCAAGCAGTTGCAATAGTAGTCATAACGACCCACACAATCTTCATAGTCATTCCACCAACTCTTCACCCTCTTTGTTTCCCACTTCCCCTCATCATTCCTCATTCCATGGCATTTCCCTCAAGCTCCCACATCAACTTTTTTCCTTATCTCGTTGCTTCCAAGAAGAAACAACCTTTTTTTATTGCTACTGTTACTAAGAAAGTTATTGTTATCTTTAAAGGCACTTCTAATGTCGAAGGCATCATCACTTTGATCCAGAAGAAGATGGTATGTAACTCTCATCCCTTTCTCTTTCTCTTTAAAGTTTTGTTGTGAATGTTGTTGATGGTTGAGGTTGACTTTATGATTCTTTTTGGGTGATGAGAATTTAGAGAAAAAGGTTAATGGTTATGCTTGGTTTTTGCGTTTAGAAAATGAGTTTTCTTTGAATGGATCGAAGTGGCATTTACAGTGCGGAGGCAAGAGATGACGAAGATGGAGACACCAACACTAGTGCCACAAGTGACAAGGCTACAAATTTTCTACTATTAGGGATGATGGGGTGGATGAGGTAGTGAAGGCATTCGAGTTAGTTATTATAGTGGAGAGGTAAGTAGCAACAAAAAAAACAATAGGGAATTTGTTGGAAAGGATAGAGACACCAACACCGGTGCCGCAAGCTACAAGGCTACGGATTTCTAAGGTTAAGGATGATGGGATAGACGAGGTAGGGGAGACAAGATGACTTTAGGGATTTAGGAATTTGAGGATTTAGGTTTCCAGTTAGAGAGAAAGGGAGAATGGGGTAGGGGCAATGTGATAGTTTGTGATATTTTCTAATAATTTGTAAATACTAACTATTAGTTTAATAATAAAAATCCTTTTTAACTTTTTTTTCCTAGACGGAGACACTATTATTTACAACTCACTATGTCACGTGTCTATTTATAATTGGTTACCGTTAATTTTAATATGTCACGTTGGATGAACGAGATGACAAAATTACAACACATGATTTGAATCAACAAATATCTAAAAGTAGAAAGTTTTAATTAAGCTAAAAACAAAAAAACAAAAAAAAAAAAGATGGCCTTAATAAAAAAATTCGAACAATATAATGACCAAATATGTGCTAAACCCAATTAAAAATGCATAGATTTATTTGGTAAATTTATAAAAACACGAGATATAATTAGTGGGTTTTCCAATTTAAACCGACTAATTATAAATAAAAATAAATCAATCAGTCAATTAAACTATTAAAAATTAGATTTGGTTAAAATGGGACAGGTGCTTACTTCGAATTCTATTTTTTTTTTTTATCAATTTAATTCCAAGATTTGGAACCCTGGTTAATTGAATCAAATTGAATGCTTGGGCCAAATCAAATATATTATTTTGTTAATTCCATACGTTATTCAAATCAGACCAGGTTTTAACAAATATTTAATTTCAGTTTATGTTAACAAGAATTATTTTTATGATGGTCTTAAAGAGATTTGTATTTGAAAAATTCATAGCAAACATTATTTATATGTATCAGGCATAATTTGTGATTAAAATTAGTAAATAAATACATTTGTCTTTATATATCAGAACTGTTTTCTACTATATCTGGACCCCCAAAATCAACCAAATGAATGTCTGAATTCTTATATATTTGCATGCATTATAATGAGTTCTTTTATAAACTTCTATAAAAATGCCCCTCCATATACAAAAAAAAAAAAAAAAAAAAAAAAGAGTTTAAAATATTCTTAATATACTACATTTCTTATTATTCATTTTATATTTAAAAAGTATAGTAATAGAATTCGATCAAATTTTATTTGAGTATTTTAAATTTATATAAATACTACATAATAACTACTCATCAAATGCTATTTTTATCTCATAACACAATATTACATAATACAATACACTGTAACTCTGCAATATCTAACATATCATAAGCCAAATTAATGTCTGTAGAATTTGGTTGATCTTTTTTATATCATTTTTATTATTTATCACATTGGAAATAAAAAATTTTATACAAAAATTCAAATAATCATATTTCTTAACATCTAATTTACTGAAATTGAAAAATATCAATACAACTTACCCAACCCAAATACCCGATGTTTTTTCAAGATGGCTCATTTAAGAATTTGATACAACTAAAGGGGTAAAAAAAAAAAAAGATAGCTTTTTTCTAATGATTTTTTGTTGAATCCAAAATTTTCATCAAGACGAGTAAGCAAAGATGAAACACAGGCCAAACCAAAACAGCGGTAGGAAAACGGGACACGCAACTCCTATCAAACAAGAGAGCCAACTTTGACGTAAATAAGGAATGTTGTGGTTGTTATTTGTGAACAAAATAATTAATCCCTTTTGTTTCAATAAATAATTATTCGGTCTCTGTATTTTTAAATTTTCTTATAATTTATTTTTTTCTTTTCAATTTATTTTATTTTTTATTTTAAGAAATTAAAAAATAAAAAATAAGTAACAAATATAAAATAGTGATAAAATAATATTTTTTTAAATAAAATAGTATTAAATTAAGTATGATCAATAATGTCAAATGACTAAATAATTATTTTTAAAATAAAAAAATTAATTAATTTGTTTCTTAAAAATATAGGAACTAATTTATAATTTACCTTCTTTTTTTTTTTCGTTGCTTTCAACCCGAATATTATCTGGCGCATGGTACACAACAGAAGGTCTGTCTTGGCTTAAAAAGAAACTTGTGAAATTGGAAACCCAGGAAAGACGCTTGTCTTTCTGGTCCACGTTCTTTGTCTTTCCGTTTCCGCTTCTATTTCCATTTCTTCTTCCTCTCTAAAGAATCGCTCTCACATTCAGTGGCTTCAGTTATTATTATCTTTCAAATATAATATCACACTCCTCCTTCACTCTCCTCCCACTGAATTTCTCTTTCTCATTTCTTCTCCAACTCAACTGGTTAGTATTTTTTATTTTCTCCCTTTCGTTTGTTTTTGGAGAAGTTGAGGCCTTGACTGGAAATAATTCATTTCATTCATGCTTTTGTTTCTGAATTCACTTGCTTAATTATTAGATGCCTGACTGCTATTGATTCATGATGTTATGATAGAACTTCTTCGCTTTTATTCTGCTCCAGTTTTATGGTCAATTCTCTTGTTTTCAGTTGAATATTTAATGTAACCTTTGGTTTAAATTTGTCATTTTTGGTATTGTTGAGATAATGACGATGTCTGTGTTAGGTAGCTTGTTCGTTATTGCGAGTCTTTTGCCTGACTAGAATCATTTTGTATCTCAGTTTCAATAATATTTGGTCTGTCTTTAATTATTGTCTATTTTCAGGTGTTAATCTGTTGATTAAAATGACGGTAATACTGGCTTCACAAAGTTGTTATTGCCGCCATGTTGATTTGATGAATGAAGGGAGAGTATCAGACAATCTTAGTTTCTCAAGTTCAGTTTCGAACCCATTTGTGAAGTTTGACCGGAAAATACATAAGCTGTATTTCACTGATAAATTAAGGATGGAAGTGGAAATGCGACAAACTGAAAGTTTAGGTTCCAATGGACCTCCGGCCCGAAAAAAACTAGGCTCCAATGGAAGAGTGATAAAGATGGTACCTACAAATGAGGTAATGAAGAGAAGAGCCCCAAATGGTAACAAAGTTGAGATACTGAATGGAACAAAGCAAGTTATTAACGGAGCTAGTATAGTTAATAGAGATTCTAGTGCTGCACTTGTTAAGTCAACAAGATCTAAAGACACAGACAAACTTCCACCACTGGAGGAATTTAGGGTTCTTCCAACGGATGAAGGTTTCAGTTGGGCGGATGAGAATTACAACGACTTCCGAAGGACCATTGACATTTGGTCCTCTGTTCTCTCCTTGCGTGTTCGTGTTCTGTTTGACAATGCCAAATGGGCATATGGGAGAGGTTTCACAGAAGATAAGCAGGTGACTTTTCATGATCTCTAAGTTAAGACTGTTATATGGTGTTATCACACGTTTATGTTATGAAATTCTGTACAACTGTGCTCTGTTGGTTGAAATTTTGTGAAATTATGGTGATTATCATTCTGTTTTTTCCCCCTTTCATGTCAATAATCTCTCTTTTTCAGAAAAGACGCAGGAGAAGAACTGCTTCATGGCTACGGGAGCGTGTGTTGCAGCTTGGTCCAACTTTTATCAAACTTGGACAATTATCCTCGACAAGGTCAGATCTATTTCCTCGAGAGTTTGTGGATGAGCTTGCCAAGTTGCAGGTAACTTTTGATATTATTCTGTATTAATCTTTTATTTTAGCCTTCTATATGAATATGGAGCAGTCCAATCATTCTATCCTTTGCAGTCTGACTTTTTCATATAAATATGATACGATGGTTACATGATATATTCCAGGATAGGGTGCCTTCCTTCTCTCCAAAGAAAGCAAGAAATCTTATTGAGAGGGAATTGGGAGCTCCAATTAATGTGCTGTTCAAGGAGTTTGAGGACCAGCCAATAGCCGCAGCTAGTCTTGGTCAGGTGTTTGATTTATGCTTAGCTGTTGTACTTTCTTGCTTCCATATTTGATTTTCTGTGAAATTTACTTGATACTTTGTTGAGATTTAAAAGTATAATGCTATGAAGATATTTTTCATGTGATATCATTTGCAGATTTAAGAAGAACCTCCTTGTAGAGAGAGTTTATGACTAGGATACCATTCTCTAGCTAAATTAAGAAAACATGGAGACAGGAATTCTTGCTTCCACTGACTTAAGATTTCATTGCTTCTACCTCTATGCCCATATGAGTGGTGTATTAAAAATTTGTTAATACATTAAAAGCTTTTCTCTATAATGATTTTCTTTATGGTAAAAATTCACTATATTGCTGATTGGATTTTATCTGGTGCCTTTAGGTGCACCGAGCTATCCTGCACAATGGGGAGAAAGTAGTTGTGAAAGTTCAAAGGCCTGGACTCAAGAAACTTTTTGACATCGACTTAAGTGAGTAATGTATCCTACTTCTTTTGCCACTTTGAACAAAGGATATTGTACTTGCTTATAATTATGAAATATCAGACATGATTACTCTTTTTCTGCTGCTTCATGGCTTTCTTTATTACTGCTTTGTTCTCTTTCTTTGAGCTCTACTGGAAAATATGCTCATCACTAGCTTGAAATGTTCTTTGTTAGTTTTAGGATTCTTTTTGGTTGGTTTTGTGATTTTCATTTGGAAGAGATGAATTACTGGGAGTATATTAAAAAGTGTAATAGAAGCATTAAGATGGCCATGTCTATTGACATGCTTTTAAACTTCCAAAAAAAAAAAAAAAAGATTTTATGCTTGAGTCTTCTTCTGGGGCATTACGAAATATATTCACATCTTTATGTGCGAACATTGACTTCATAGATCTTCCTGGGTATACTCTTTTCATGTTTACTCCATGTATAGTTGTGCTTACTAATTACAAGTAAAGTTTTGATTGTTTCCAATTTTTCTTTTTCCTTCCACTCAGGAAATTTAAAGCTAATTGCAGAGTACTTTCAAAGAAGTGAAACTTTTGGTGGTCCAAGTAGAGATTGGATGGGGATATACGAAGAATGCAAAAAGTAAATGATAGTCATTTATTACTTGTCATTATGATTTATTTATTTATTTTTATCATGGTTGTGCATACAAATTCTGGAATTTTTTTTTTTTTTTGGTAACAAAGGAGAGGCTCGAAGTGGAGATCTCTTAGCAAGAGGGTGGACATGGGTGCCAGTTACGCCATAGGCTCACTGCCAAAAATTGTGGAAATTTAATCGTACATTAAACACAATAAGGCATACTTATTTAATATGAATCTATGTCCTAGCCTGTGCATTGTGCCTGGCATTTCATGTTTACTTTGAAGTGCAAAAGACAATTTGGTTTCAGCATTGCATTGTTCCACACATATAACTTTTGTTGCTTTGGACACAACTGGGAAACTTTAGGATTTAATCTTTATCAAAGTGATACTAGTAAAGAATGGCATGTGTTTTTGTTCATATATGTAAATTATGAAATGCTCCGTATTCATTCTAGCACTACATTGATTTCAGGATTTTGTATGAGGAGATTGATTATATTAATGAAGGAAAAAATGCTGACAGATTCCGCCGAGATTTTCGGAATACAAAATGGGTCCGAGTACCAGTATGCCTCTTGCTACAAATTTTTTTAATTTATGCTTTGTCCTTCATCTTGTAGTTTACAATTATGAACAGATTACATTGTGAACTTGTCAGTGAAAGTAGACTGTACACTTGAATTCTAACTACTTGAACAATACTTATTTAAATCTCATTTGCTTCTTTCAAGCTGGTATTTTGGGATTATACTGCCATGAAGGTTTTGACTTTGGAGTATGTACCAGGTATCAACCTAAACTAATTCATGGTCTAACATTTCAGTTGATGTCAAGGCCCATATAATTTAAGGCAATTAAAGTTTTCTTAAGGTCTTTTCATGATTAAACATGTTATATAAGGTGTTAAAGAAAGGTGCTTGTAATAATTGACGTTATGTTGCTTACTTCTGTGTGCAGGGGTTAAGATAAATAGGCTAGACATGCTAGATTCACGGGGATATGATCGTTCACGAATTTCGTCACGGGCTATTGAATCATATTTGATTCAGGTATATGACACTATTCAGATTTAGCCACATGACTTTAGGTCATTACTGACCTTTAACCGCAGTGGCGATGACTGTAAAATGGATTCTATTTGTTTCCTTAATATATTTCAATTCTTTAATGGGTTTGCCTCATGCTGCAGATTCTGAAAACTGGTTTCTTTCATGCTGATCCTCATCCTGGAAATCTTGCTGTTGATGTGGATGAATCACTTATCTATTATGACTTTGGTATGATGGGAGAGATCAAAACGTTTACACGTGAGAGGCTGCTTGAACTTTTCTATGCGGTTTATGAAAAAGATGCGAAAAAGGTATATTTTCTATAATAAACTTCTGTTTCCTTGACATTTTTCAAGCTCTAGGTTGATCTGTAGAAAGAATCCCCAATTTTAATGCAAACTACTTGCCATCTTTTATTTTCTATGCCCCAAATTAGTATCTGGTGCATCACTGAATGTGTGTGTGTTCATGTTATTAACATGCTATGATTGTTTCATTTCTCAACCTCTATGGTCACTTTATCATACAGTTCGTGGACTATTAGCAGAGTCCCAGCTCCAATAGATGAAACAAAATGGGGCTTTTGCTTATAGATTTCTTGACCTAATGATAAGAGACTCGGCAGGTGGGCATTTGTTAGGAAGGAACCATGGTGTGCCAATAAATTGGAAGCGCAAAATTAACTCATAAAATATTCTGATTCACAACTTGAGGTGCAGTTATCAGCTGTAAAATGCAGAATTTGATGATCGTTTCTCTGCATCCCTTATACTGAACTCTCAATCCATCTCCTTGTCACCAAAATTATTTAAATCAACATCAATTGTGAGAATTGGACATGTGAGAAGAAAATTTGTCTCTGTCCTGTTCAACTGACACTTAAGATTCTACTGTACTAGGGTCAAAAGTTTTACTATATCACTTCTCAGCTGCAATTACAGGAGATGTTGGAACACATCTATGCATTTTGTCTGAAATTGATGGAGACATTCGGATGATGCTTCCTCTCTCCTAGCACACAGATGTTAATGATCATTATTTTCACCTGGACTCTCATTATTGAATCTTGTGGATCATGCATGTGATATTGACACCAAATGACAGGAATGCAGAATAGACTACCAGCTATGTTTTACAAAAACCTGTTTCTTTCTTGTTTGTCATTTGAAAAACAACACCTTCCAGAAACATGCAATCAAAATCATTCAAAAAGCTCAAATACACGAACTTATTGTACTTGCTTCGATGTGTGAACTGATAAACAGCTGCCTTGCAGGTTATACAAAACCTCATAGATCTTGAAGCACTTCAACCCACTGGAGATTTATCATCTGTAGGTGTCAAACACTATCGAATCAATATTTAGGAAATGGATGCTCAGTGATATGCAAACAGCTTTTGAAACACTTGATTTTATAAGCACTTATATTATGGTATTTTCCTAGGTGAGAAGATCTGTACAGTTTTTCTTGAACAATTTATTGAGCCAGACACCAGATCAGCAGCAGACTTTGGCTATAATTGGGGAGGTAAGCAACAATGAAGGCTTCAAAATCAGTTATCTTCTTTGTGTGAAACTTAATGATAGCTCAGTCATCTAAATAATCCTCACACTTGTTCTTGTCAGTAAATGGCTAAATGAACAAAATGGCCAAAAGAAAATAACTATTATTTAAGTCATCTTTAACTATATGTTTCCTTTTTTTCTAATAGTATGATCCCATATTTTTCACCTGATCATTCTATATGATCCTTCCTTGATCACTGAGCTTGACCCGCCCTTGTTTTTTCAGGATTTGTTTGCAATAGCTCAGGATCAACCATTTCGGTTTCCATCCACATTTACCTTTGTTATCAGAGCATTTACAACGCTTGAAGGTTGTCTCTCAAAACTTCACTACCAGATATTTATGAAATCTCACTTTTGTGCTGATTTGAAGTAGCTTTCCTGGATTTGTGCTGATTCACAGAATCTTATTGGGATATTTTGTTAATTTGTTAACTTTGTGAATGAGGAAAGTTTTAAGGATAGCCTACATCTATCTATTGCTCTTACCTCAGTACCTTTGTGCTCTTCCAGGTATTGGCTACATTCTTGATCCAGATTTTTCCTTTGTGAAGATTGCTGCCCCTTATGCGCAGGTTTGATATGTTTTACGAGCACCTTTTCATTACATCTTCTTCCAATGCTTTCATGATCTATATACAGTTGACTGATGCTATCCACCATCTACAGGAGCTTTTAGATGTACGACAAAAGCCGCGTAATGGAACAGAACTAGTTGAGGAAATAAGGAAACAAGCAAATGATGTACTGCCCTCACTCTTAGTCCCATCGGATTCCATTTCCTTGCTAGATTTGCTGTTAGATAGAAACTCCTGCTTCTTCAAGTTTCCTTGGTTATACGTTATCCCTGTGTTAAATGGACCTGTATATTTTTTCAGGCTAGAAGTTCCACCATATCTATGCCATACAGAATCCAACGAATAGAGGAGTTTGTGAAACAACTGGAAGCAGGTGACTTGAAGCTCCGAGTCCGGGTGCTTGAGGTAATTATCCTTTGACATTCTACTTAGAATTTGTTGTCTGATGGCCTCTTGAAATGGTTTTTCAAAAAGGGCACCATAGTTAGAACGAGCACTAGGCTCTTTTTTCTTATTTTAATTTAATGCCATAATCAAACTGCCTATACCAGTCAGAAAGAGCAGCTCGAAAAGCAACAATACTACAAATGGCAACCATGTATACAGTCTTCGGAGGAACCCTAGTAAACCTTGGGCTAACTTTCAGCAGCCAGGGCAGTCAACTTATTGCAAATGGATCATTTGTTGGTGCAGGTGAACTTTTGCGCACTAGAACCTTTAAATCATATTGGTGCTTCTGTATGTGTTTCTGGTTTCAAACATTGAACTTCCTGATCATTCATCAATATTTTGTGGCTAAGTCTTTTGATTATTGTAAATGCAGGAATTTTTCTGACACTTCTTCTAAGGTCCATGCAAAGGGTAAAGAAGCTTGATAAATTTGAGAAGATGATATGATTTCTGAAGCAAAAGCAACAAGTCAAGCTTCCAACTGCATACTAGATACCAGCCATTTACCTTCAAGTCATCAAAAGTCCCATTCTTAATTTAATTTTTAATTTTTATTTTTTGCATGCATACAAATTCTGTATGCATTGTATATGCAACATAATGATAAAGATGAAAAATCCTCCCTGATTGGTGAGAGGAAATAGATTCAAGAATACCAAAAAAAAAAAAAAAAAGGTGCCCTGTGATTCCCAAAAGCAGCTCTGATTTTGAACATGGATTTGAACCCATAACCCTCAATTCTTCAGGGGAATGCTGAAGGCCAGTAAAGTTTATGCATGCATAAGCTCGGCTCAACATGCTTGATCAAGACATAAAATTGAAATGATGATGACATTCCAAAAAAAATAAAATTGCATTGATTCCTTGCAACTATCTTGATTCTCGAAAAATGTCGGTGTTCTAACATAACAAGACGAAATGAATTGGTGTCAAATTCAACCAAAAAAGATGCCTGCTTTTGATTTCCATTTCCATTACAGCAGCATAAATATTTAGATGTAACTTGAAATAAGATAATTTGATCATTGAGTGATGATAAGGCATTCCTAAAAACCCGAAGGAAAGTGGTAAAAAACTTATTAGATATGCATACATTAATTAGGCAAAAATGGGTATTTTTTTGGGAAATTTAGTTGATTTGAAAATCAGTTTTTTAATTTTTAGTTTCATGTTTTATCTTTTTGATTTTTTTTTAAAATTTAATTCATCTTATAATTTTTAGTTATCATCTTTTCTCTCTAAAAAGACCAGTTCTTGACATTTTAAGTTGAGATTTTGCACAAAAAATGAAAAAAAAAAAATCAATTCATTTTCTGGAAAGTTCTTAAAAATTTTAAAGGGTGAAAAGTATATTTGTTCGTTTTTTTAAATTAAAAGTGTAGAAAATTAGAAAAAAATAAAAAATAATTCAGAATGATTTTAAATTTTGAAAGAGTTCTATATAAATCTCGATGATTTTCATCGTGAAGTTATTTATTTCATCGTTATTTTTTATAAAAGGATAAACTAAATTTTAAAAAAAAAATTACGGAGATCAAACTTGATAAAATTAAAAGTTTCGAAACTAATTCATAAGAGGTTTGACTCATTTATCCCATTAATTATGGTTCAATGAAGATAAAACGATGAATAGAAATGACTTGGTACTTGGTTGCAAGAGTTTCAATGCTCCATTGAAAAGAAAATATTGTCAAAGTGGGTGTTCTTTAATTAATGGGTTCATGAATGCCGTAAAGAGACCGACTGAAGGGATGCATGCATCACAAACTCACATTCCACGAGCTAGTCAATTTGTAAGCTTGAGAATTCACTTTTTTTAGGAGGACATATGGACCGTGGTAGGTGGCTGGCTTGGTTTGGAGCATTCCAAGTCAATATTGGAACTTAGTCCAATAATTCCAATAGCACATAAATAATTCCACTCATGTTTTCTACTCCATATTATTGATGTTGTTCTGAGTCATTGATTCGTGCCATATATATATATAGGAGTAATTTTTAACCCCTTTATAATTCTTTTATTTCTTTGGCATCAAACAGCCTATCATTATCCTTATTGTATTCAGTAGTAAGTTTTATATTACACTCCTTTGAGAAACAAATTAATTAGTCCTTTCTATTTTAAAAACTTATTATTTAGTCTCTTCTATTTTATGTTATTTTATAATTTATTTTGTCTTAAAAAATAAATAAATAAAGTAAATTGATGTTAGGGGAAAAATGATAAAAAAGAAGATATTTTTTCAAAAACTAATATAAAATTAAGCATGATCAACACTAGTCTAGATGCTAAATAATTAATTTTAAGAAAACTAATTAATTTATTTCTCAAAATTAAAGGGGCTCATTTATAACTTTCTCTATAATATTTAACCTTATTACTCCCACACTAATCATGTACTTAAAAAATCCATGGATATGTTGCCTCCGATGGGGAAACAAAATACAAAATGCAAATCGTATGTATTTTAAATTTAATAAATTTCTTTTTAGAAAAATAATGTATTGAAAATTAGTTTAAACTCAATATTACAAATACTTGATTTTATTATTAGTGTTATGAAACAATGAATGTCCATCATCATGTTCATCTACTTTTCATATCCCTACTACTTATGATTCTTAATATGATTCAATTCATCATTCAATATAAGAAATTGAAAGGGTGATGCAATTGATTATTCATAGTCCTTTCTAATTCTCTCCTTAATTTTGAAGCCTATAAATAGGCTTGATTGTTCATTAGTTGGTGTACAAGTTTTCTAGAGAGAATAAGAGAGACTTTGAAATTCTTATAACTTATATTTACATTATAGTGATTTCATTTTCTTGTCATCCTTTCTTTCAATTCTCCTATAATTTCTATTTATTTTATAACACGTTATCGACACGAAGCTCTAACCAATCGAGACAATAGACCATGAGATATGTATCTACCAAAATACTTAATCAATTGTTTCAACTATTGGATTTCTTATACACAAGTGTTCTACCAAAAGATCTAAATTATTTAGATCATTAAGAGATATATATCTAATTTATCATGTATTTTAAATATAATAATATATAGAATATACATTTGAAAAACTTAAATGATTTAATATATAGAATCTAATGATCTAATATATGTTGTTTGAAAAGTTTAAATTTTATTATTATGTTTGTTTTTATTTAAACTTTATTCTTATATTTTGTCTTTATTTCCTAACATTATTATTATTATTGCAATATACAATTTTAATGATATCAACCATCACAAAAGTTGATTTTGTGGCCCTTGATATTTTGAGTAAGAATTATTGATCATGAGTGTTTGATGCTAAGTTAATATCATCTACTTTTCATGTCTCGAATATGCTCATATAGTAACATATAAAAAAAAAGTTTAAAAAATATTTTGAATCAATTTCATACTTGTTCATGGTAGCTAAATAAAATGATAAGCTATTGATGAAAAATAATAAATCTCATCCAATTGGATCTACTCCATTCCTTGAAGTGAATGTGACAATTTATAATAATTTTAGACATGGATAAAGATGTGGTTATATCCATGGACATGATCGAAATAATTATCATTATACTCGTGATGACCATAGTATTATATCTCACCACCGAAGTGGATAACTATGAAAAAAATAAATAAAGTCAATATTCTGAAAAATAAATATTATAGATGTGGTATGAATGAATATTGATCGTGTACTAATCGTACACCAAAACACCTTATTGAACTTGCTCAAGCTTTATTAAAAAATAAAGAGTAAAATATGAAGGCCACTTGTATATATCAAAATAATAGTAATTGAAATTAATTACTTGTTAGTTTTTCTATTTATAAATAAAATATTTTATATTTCTTATAATTTATATCGTATAGTGATGGTCACAAATTTATTTTATTATTTATTTATTTATTTATGTTTATGAGGAATATATTTATTTATTTATTTTATATTGATTTATTTAATTATTTATTTTATGTTAATATTATATATAATAATATCAATCTAATAGAAAGCTCTAGAAGAGCGACTATATTATTATCATCTAAAGAGATAAATTTTCAAGGCTCTAGAAGAGCGATTATATTATAATTCGAAGAGATAAATTTTTGAAGCTCTAGAAGAGTGAATATATTATTACTTGAAGAGATAACTTTTAAAGGCTCTAAAAGAGTCAATAAATTATTACTTGAAGTGACTAATTTAAAAGCTCTAAAAAAGCAAATATATTATTATCTGAAATGATAAATTTATTATAAATGATGTACTATTCTCTTCAAAGTCTTATAGAAATTTATTGATTTTTAAAGATATTCGTCTAAATTGATATCATATCAAGATAGAAAATGTGAATACTTATATATTATAATCATTATATCGGGTAGAAAAATATGTATTAAAAAATTTACCCGCTTTCTCTTCGATCTTTATTATAAATGTTGGAATGATTGAAACAAATGCTATAGTAAACCGAAGTTTACTAATTTAAATACTTTTATTATGTGGCATGACTAGTTGTATTATCTTGGGTCTTTTATAATGCGAAAAATTATTAAAAATTCATATGGACATCTATTGAAGAGCAAGAAGATTCTTCAATTTAATGAATTTTCATGTTCCGTATGTTGTCAAGACAAATTGATGATTAAGCCATCACCAAGTAAAATTGAGATTGAATCTCCAGTATTTTAGAATGTATTCAAGGTGATATATGTGGATCAATTCATCAACCATGTGGACCATTTAAATATTTTACAATTTTGATAAATGCATCCATAAGATGGTCACACATATGCTTATTATCTACTCGAAACCTGATGTTTTTGAGATTGCTAGTAAATAATTTGATTTCGAGCATAATTTTTGAATTATGCCATTAACGCAAGTCACCTTGATAATACTAGTGAATTTATTTACGAAGCATTAAATTATTATTGATTAGCTATTAGAATAAAAATTGAACATCTTGTTGCTCATGTTCATACTCAATAAGGTTTAGCAAAAATCATTTATCAAAAGGCTCCAATTGATAGCTAAATCATTATTTAAAAATAAAAATCATTGTTTATGTTTGGGGACATGCAATCTTATATGCAACAACACTTATTCGCATATGACCCATAAGTTATTAAAAATTCTCTCACTTTCAATTAATTTATGGTCATGAGTCAAATATTTGTTATTTAAGAATTTTTTGGCATTGCAGTGTATATCCTTAGTGCTTCTTCATAAAGAAATAAAGTGGGCACTTAAAAGAGATTAGAAATATATGTTGAATTTGAATCCTCTTCGATAATTCAATCTCTTAGTTCATGAACAAGAGAACATTTTTACAACTCGATTTATCAACTCGTCATTTTGATGAAAAAATTTTTCCAACATCGAGGGGAGAGAATAAATAAAATAAGCGAGTTGAAAATGTTGAAAAAAAGAGATTACATA